TGCGATGATGGGCTCGAGTATAGCAGGGATTGTGGGGCTGGCGCGGGATCGGGCAGTGTTTCGTTCTGCTGTGCATCGGGTCGCTATGAGTCGGAGACGACTCAACGGCACTTAACAACAACAACAAGTGATGGGGCTGAGTTACATATATAATTATGTATTTATATGTATGTATATGAATATACTATATAGCATATTAATTTTTCTTGACACTAAATTTGAACATACATTGAATTATGCACATAAAAATGGCAAAAATGACAAATATTTTGTTATATATTTTGTCACAATTTAAGGGGAAAAAAAAGTCTGAATATGATAAAGACCAAGAGGGACAAAAAAAACATAGATTATTATCATAAAAATAAATATTACTCATATCATCTCCTAATGAGTACTATATACTGCCTAATTGCTGAGAGATTACTGTCATAATCTTCTGATTATTTATGCCATCAAAATTACTCATGATATCAAGAACTAATGATAATTTTATCAAATCAAAAATTTCTTTATAATGTATTTTGTTGCTTCTTTCTTAATTAAAAGTCAAAATAAAATTCCCAGATTTAACTGGCTAAAATAAAATTACAATATGACAAAAGCAATATGGGCATTTAAATTTCACAGGTTTGAAATACATTTTTAAAATTTTGTAACATATTCATCTTAAAAGATAAGTAAAAGAATCTTTACCTTAGAAAATTGTGCATTTATCCATTTTGTGAATGTTTTCTTTTGAACATCTTCTCTTTCATCTGAAAGGTAAAAGAGTATTTAAAATTAAGAAACAATTTTTTAATGTCATTCATATTTTACAACCAAGACAACTTCAAATTACTATGTGTTTGTGTTTTATGTTTAGCATATTAAATTAATTGAGAAATGAAATGAAACGTAGATGATGTTAGTATTGGACATACAAACTAAACTGTAATCTAAAAAATAATTTATATGGTCAAGTCATGCATATATTTATAAAGTTATTATGAAAATATTGCCTCCTCTGACTAAATAGGATATCATGTATTCCTCTATAATGAATAGATACTCTATTATAATGAAAGGAAACTACTGTCTGTCATTTTTTCTGCAGTACTATTTTTGAGTCTCTCCCCTTAGACCCTGATCTACACAGAAATGATGACTCCCTCTTTTATGACATTTCCTTACTTTGTCTTCAGTCCCTAACATAGCCTCCACTCTTTATAGGAGAAGTTTCCTGATGATCAGGAGCATTACTCACTTATCTTTGCAACCCAGAATGTAGCACATTTTTAGCAGAAATTACGAGCTAAGCATATATTTGATAAATAAATATATTAATGTTTTATGGGAGGGGAAGATCTTACAACACCAAAATCTCTAGTACCTCTTTTAATCTAAGAGTCAGATAATTTCAAATAAAAATGCAAATTATAGTCTTCATGGATTAAATATAAATACTCAAAGGAAAATTCCCCCAAGGATTTCTTATACTGAGAGATTAGGGTTGAAAAATATTAAAAAAGAAACAACTTCCCAGAATGTATGCTTCTAAAAAGTTTCTTTTTTCTTTTTAAGCTAGAAATTAGTATTAAGTCAAATGGACAAAGAAATCATCAATCTTAATTTATTAAAATGTTTTTTCAAAGCCAAAAGCCTATATTTGCATTACTGTAAATTTAATCACATTAATCAAAGTTTAATAAATGAGTGCATCTAAAATTGAGAGATTTCATATGTTATTTACATGGGTCAAAGAACTCTTATTGAAATGCCCTGGGAAAATAACCTTATTTGTTCTTTTATTATTTTTCATCAGTAAATGTCTATTGTTCCTCTTCAAAACAAAGGATACAGAGAAAAGAATCACTTTCCCATGATAAATGTATCCATGTACTGAGGATATCTGCTTATCTTTAATCACTTTATTGACTTATACATAAATGCTCCTGAAATACTTAAAACTGTTTTCTTACATGAGAGGCTTTTATTTAACATAATGAAATACTTCCTTCTAATTTATGTCACCATTTTCTCACACTGATTCAGAGTGTAGTGGGAAAACCAGTTTAGCTGTAGTAAAATATGTCTATACAGAACAACACCACAATAGTTATGGAAGGTTGTGTAGTTTTGATGTTGATGTGTTTCAAGAGACAATAGGTCTTTGGTCATACTTTCCTAGAACATCCACTTCTTACATACAGAGATTATGATCTTTTCCTCCTTTGTCAATCATCTGGCCACTTCAAAAAAGAAGGAAAACAAGGCACCAAAGCATATAAGAAAAAAATAGCTCTCTCCTTTGAGATACTCTGAAGCAAATTCCACCTTCTATACCTCATCGGGAAAATGTAAGTTAGAGGTGAGTTGATTTCTGTCTCTGCTCTCTCTAAGATCTAAGGTAAATCACAAAACAATTTAGTGATTTTTGAGAATGTTACATATGTGCTAATTGGTGTATATCAGTCATGATCACAACTAATGTTTGATCAACTAACCTACTCCATGAGCTACTTTCTATGTGGTCAATATCAACATTATCATAGAGTACAGAATAGATCATAGCTACAATATAAAAGTCTTTCTTCTGTCAACCTATGTGAATATGTATGAGATCTCAGTGTGGGGCAAATGGTTTATATACTCAGCTACTAACTTAAAGATTGGTGGTTTGTACCCACTCAGCAATGCTACGGAAGAAAGGCCTGGTGATCTGCTTCTGTTAAGATTACAGTCAAGTAAACTCTATGGAGCAGTTTTACTTTGTAACACATGGGATCTTCAATAAGGGGGAATAGACTGGAGAGCAATGGGATGAGTGAATAAATAAAAATACACAGTAGTGGTGTTTAAACTTAATCTAGCCTATTTTGCATATTTTTACTTCAGTAAATTCAATACATCTAGCGTATTTTTAGGAGCTCTGGTGGCATAGTGCCTAAGGCATTTGACTGCTAACCAGAAGGCTGGCAGTTCAAACCCACCAGCCACTCTTCAAAAGGAAGGTTGGGCAATCTATTTCCATAGTGATACCACCTCGGAAACCCAAGGGAGGGGTCGCTATGAGTCGGACATGACTCGATGGCAGTGCGTTGCGTTGTTGTTGCACTGTGGGAAAACTGGTCTAAGCATCTACTTTTCAAATGCTCCATACATACATTATTAGAAGTAAATGGCCTTTTTTTTGGAATTGTTCTTAATTTTCCCTGCATATGCACACACATCTCACCTATCGGAGGCCAGAGAATAAATGTGCCATTTGAAAGGATGCATTCAGAGGTTTTTCACACATATGTCATCGTTTCCAAAAACAGAATAGGAAGGCATTTGAATAGATTTGTTCCAGATGCTTTTAAGTAAAAACCGGGTAAACCAAAACCCATTGCTGTCAGGTCTAGTTGGAGTCATAGCGACCCTTAGGACAGAAAAACTCCGTAGGTTGTCCAAGGCTGTAAATATTTATCGAAGCAGACTGCTACATTTTTTCTGGTGGAGCAGCTGGTGGGTTCAAACTGCTTAACTTTAATTAGCAGCTGAGTGTTTTAACTATTGTGCTACCTACCAAGCAAGGCTTCCTGAAAAGTGGGTAGTACAGCAATCATTTTATTCTTTTCAATATGTACAAAGAGTGATTTTTACATACGCTTTGAAAGCAGCAGGGAAAATTTGACATGTGCAAAACGTTATGTATCTACTCTTAACTGTTAAATAGCACTAAAAGGAAGCTTCATGATATGAACATCTTCACTCACTTCTATTGCTTTTAATGCAAGAAAAATACAACTTCATTGAATTACTTGTAGTTTATTTGGTATAAATCCAAACCCACTGCCATTGAGTCGATTCCGACTCATAGCCACCCGCTTTGGGTTTCCCAGTGGGTAAACCATTACAGAAGTAGATTGCCCAGTCTTCCTTCCACTGAGTGGCTGGTGGGTTTGAGCAGCTAACCTTCTGGTTAGCAGTCAAATGCCTTAGGCATTGTATTTTCTTTAACATGAAAAATATGAAAATTACTAATTATTACTACTTTTATAAAACATAACATTCATTGGCTCCTTAACATTCACAATGATGTTTTACATATGTCCTCTCAATCAATCCATACATAATGTATTATTTTATATATTAAAATAAGAAAGCTCAAAATGAAAGAACACACGGACACACATACAAAAACTAGTGATAGAGACAAACTTGATATAGATGCTCTGAATCAAATTCCATGTTGATCAGAGCTCTCCTGTTCACATTATTATTATTATTATTATTATTGCATAATTAGTAATGGGGAATGTCACAGGTAATCAGAGTCACAAAAGCTGAATATATTAACGCAAATGAAAAGTAACTATGAATTAGCAACCTTTATTTTGAACTTGTGGGTGGCATAATTGGTTAAGTGCTGCACTACTAACCAAAAGATTGGTGGTTTGAATCTACCCAGTTGACCCTCAGATGAAAGACCCAGACATCTGCTTTCAAAATGCCACTGCCTTGAAATCCCTACATAGTGCACACATGCGGTCTCCATGAGTCTTAATTCTATGCTACTTGGCATTCTTTTATTTTTCCCCCTTCTGGTTGTTTTGGACCACCCAGGGCGTGCAATTCACATTGTAATCTATGTGAATGACATCCTGGAATTTTATAAAGTACAACCTGACTGTCTGTATAAATTTACCCATGGTTGAATACTGAACTTTTCTTAAGATGTTGGATGATTAGATTGTTAGTGTTTTAAATAATAATACTGCTACACTTACAAATTGACATTTAGTGTTTCAATTTTATCAACATTATAGGAATGCTTTAATATTAATATTTTAAATACCAAAAATCATCCATAATTTTCATGTCTACAGATTATCAAGGAGCCCTGGTGGCACAGTGGTTTAAGTGTTTGGCTGCTAACCAAAAGGCCAGTGGTTCAAACCCGCCAGTGGCTCTGTGGGAGAAAGATGTGGCAGTCTGCTTCCATGAGGATTTACAGCTTTTGAAACCCTATGAGGCAGTTTTATTTTGTCCTATCGGGTCGCTATGAGATAGAATGAACTGGACAGTGGATTGGTTTGGGTTGTTGTTGTTGTTAAGTGC